CCGGCCCTGCCGATGCCGCCGCCGCCCGGCGCTCAGGCCCAGCTGCCGGGCAGGGAGACGGACGCAGAACCTGCTGCCTGCAGGGGTGGCTCTTGCTGGAGACGGGGTGTTTGGGAGCTCGGCCGGGGGGTATTTCAGCATCTAAACAAGGGGTTTGAAAACTTCTCAGTCATCCAATTCATTTCTGTTCTCCCCTTGGTCAATGTTGGAAGTGGCAACACTCTGTCTCTTCTGTTGTTGTTGTGATCAGCTGCCGCTTTGCTGTGGCATTCCACTGGTGTGCCAGACTCCCATACACCGCTGGTTCCATTTCCCGCCCCAGTTTCTTGCCCAGAGTGAACAGACTGTGGCCTGAAAGGGAAATGCTGCCCCTGTTCGTAGCCCAGAGGACACACCGCAGCTCTGGTGTATCGTCACAAGTACCAGGGGGCAAAAGAGCCCAGAAACGACTTGGGGAGGGCACTGCTGCCAGCTGAAGGAGCTGTCACTCCAAATCCCGTGCTCCGCAGCTGGATTCAAGCCTGCTGCTCCTGCTGGTTTCCCTTTCCCTGTTCTACACCACTGCCTAGCGGAATTAGCGGAAATCCAACCTCAGGTGCACGCAAAGAGAGGATTTCATGGGAAAAACAGTTGAGAAATCCACAGCCAAACATAAAACTTTGCAGTTCAGCTGTTGGACATGCCACGATTTACTGTCCCGTTCCCTTCCCTCCACATGACCCAGGAAGGTGCAGTAACGAAGGGTTTGGGTTCCTCCCGCCGGGGCAGAGGAAGGAGCGTAAGAACCCCCGTTGGAAAGGAACAGTTTTCCAATGGCAGCAGCAGACGAATCAATGCTCAGGGTTGTTGTTTAATGCCAGTGAGGTTTGGGCTAAGGGGTAATCGCAGACAGGAACCTGACAGCATGGCATTATCTTAATCTAAGCAACTCGCCTTCCACGCTGGCACTTGTGCCTCCACGTTAAGCAATCACAGAAATCTTCCAGATTTGTACTGACACTTCAGCTAAAACGGGGTTCGTTGTTCCAGTGTTTTCCTACTCAAAGTAACAACCCAGTCTGCTCCCAAGCTTATGCCAACTTGACTCGAGTGAATCAGTCTTCCCGATGTTACTCTGCAGCCTCAGAATCCTTGTCCCTGACAGATACGGCATCACGATCCCAGGGGCAGATGTGGGAGCCAGGGCACGGATCTCACGGGGAGGAGCAGCAGCAAGTACCCCCAGGGTCCATTTACGGACTGGTCATCCTCGACATGCGCTTCTCCCCGTGTTTGTGAGCCGAGAGCGCGGCGGCGAAGATGAGGGGACAGAGGGCTCTTCTCGGTCTTTTCTCCAGGCTGCTGCAACCTCGTTTCCCAGTGGGAAAAATCCAGACTCCTCTGAATTGCCAACTGCCCATCCATGTCAACGGGGGTTGTTGGCACGGCCGATCCCCCTAACGGCGAGTTGCGCTGCCAGGCGAAGCGGACTGCAGCGGAGACGGCTCATCTAACGACACGGCAGCGTTGCCACACGGAGCAGCTCAGCTCCAGGAAATCCTTGCCGCAATCCCTCTTTTGGGATGCGCTCTCTAGGGGTTATCACCTTCAGCTACGCATTAGGAACCTTGGAAGAAGAGCTCTCTTGATTCTCACACCTAACGTTATTTCTGCATTCCAAAACCCACCTGGAAAATCCTTACACCCGCTTTTTAACTCCCACGTGCACAGAAGGAAGGTTAAGTGGCCTCCTCGTGCCTCTTTCGTGTACCAAGAATAAGGAGCAGAATCAAAAGCGTGACTTTCCACTCCAAATAAGCTCGGAAAGACAATACTTACCCCCAGCCGACCGGCTGAGAGCGGCACACACTGGGAGTGTCACGGGAAAGGGTAAGGTTTTTGATCTTTACCATAATACCTTGGGCCAACCACCCTTTTGCTCGCAAATACCCAGCGGAGTTCTGGTAACGTGTCGGGTAGGTTTGGAGAAAAGGAAGAGTTGGCACAACCGGTAACCTGAGCAGCCAAAGTACAAGTGGAAGGAGGGTGAATGATTAGCCAGGGAGACAGGCCTTGAACCAGATCGCTTCAGCAGACACTAACTTAGTAATTCCCTCTTGCTCCGAAATGAACTTTGTTCCTGTAATGACTGACAGCTGATGCAACGATAAGAGAATGAAGTCTATAAAAATCTAGCTGGAGCTTGGGAAGTTCTATTTGGGGCTCTTCCTCCCTCCTCCGCCCAAGGCTGGTCCTACGGCCGAAGGGACAGCTCAGCCCGTGAAGATGCGCTGTTGGAAAATGATGGCAGTCTTCCTGCTCTGCTCGCTGCTGCTCAGCCAGGTAAATACAACTTCTTCCAGTGCTAATTCAAACGGTCACGTAGCTAATAGCAGCTGTTGTGATTTGCATGGGTTGCTGGCAGGAGTTGGAGCCGACAGGAGGGCTCTTTTAGAGGGTTCGGCATCGTAAAAAAGCCTGGGTTACTCCGAGACGTAACTTAGCGATTCTACCTGCCCTCCCAAGAAGATGAAAGAACATAGTTAATTTTTATACTCCCTACTTCTCTGGGGTGAGGACACAGCAATTATCCCGTAACAGGGCGTGCTGTGATCTGGAAACGAGAAAGATTTCAAGCTCCTCACCTAACTGCTGACCTCAGCATACGAACGACCAGGCGCCCGCCGCTGCTGCGTGGTGCTGACAGTCGCCCCCCGACTCTGTTTCAGACGCACTGTGCTTCCTTGCACCCCCGACTGACGAGGCAGAGGCGGATGACACCTTTCTGGAGAGGAGTCTCGCTGAGACCCATCGGAGCCTCGTGCAGGGATAACAGCGAATGCATTACCATGCTGTGCAGGTAACTCGCCCCGGCAACCATCAGGCTCAGCGACACTTCGCAGCGTGTTACGTAGAGCAAGTTCCCACTCAGTCTCACCCAAACGGGATGTGGGCTTAGTTCTGAGCATAAAGAAGATACCAGGAACAGGGATGGGGCAATAGATTCAGACTTCTTTTGTAAGCAATGCAAACAGAGCAGAGTCCAAGTGCCCTCGATTACAAGCCTAAGTCCTTTCCTTGCAAGCCCAAATCACCTCTTTGCAAAAAAGAACACAGGATTCTAGGCAGCCCTTAGGTAATCACTTAAGACACCTTAAAATTAATCCTTTGTAAAGCCATTACTGCTGACTTTAAAGCATATGTTAATTACATATGCTATCTTACCCTAAATTCATAGAACAGTTTGGGCTGAAGGGACCAAAGTGCCACCCAGTGCCACCCCCTGCCAGGGGCAGGGACACCTTCCACTAGACCAGGTTGCTCCAAGCTGTTAATTAAAATCACTGTCTTACCCTAAATTCATAGAAGTTTGGGCTGAAGGGACCAAAGTGCCACCCAGTGCCACCCCCTGCCAGGGGCAGGGACACCTTCCACTAGACCAGGTTGCTCCAAGCCTCATCCAGCCTGGCCTTGGGCACTTCCAGGGATGGGGCATCCACAGCTTCTCTGGGCAACCTGTGCCAGTGCCTCCCCACCCTCTGTGGGAAGAATTCCTTCCTGATGTCCCATCTCAATCTCCCTCTTCCCATTTAAACCCGTCACCCCTTGCCCTGTCACTCCCGGCCGTCGTACAAAGTCCCCCTTAAGGTGGTAACTGAAGGTCACGGTTCATCAGCCGGAGTACCAAAAGCCACGCCACTCTGAGGAACACCAGACACGAACAAACCGCCCAACCACACACAGTTCAATTGATTAGTTAAACTTACAACGTCGTGCCCGAAAGGCGATTTTGCGTGGCACCTACTGTACGCTCAGCAGAGAGCAAATAGGGACGGGGCAGAGCATCTCTGTCTGCGACTCTCCGTAAATGTAATAGGACAGGGGAGCGGAGCTGCTTCTCCACATCGTGTGAAACTCCTCACCTGCTCCTACCAACCAACACGGGTGACCTGGAACAGCAGCTGCGGGAAGACACAGGCAGGAAGGGATTCCAGTTGTGTAGAATCTCGGCCACGCAGCCCCGGGTAGCGTGCGTCGGGAGCTGTGGTGTAAAGCAAAGAACACAGCGAATCAGGACAAACAAGTGAAGCTGAAGGGGGGTCAGACGGCGCGGGGGTACGTGAGCGCTGTTCCAACAGCCGGGCAAGGGCTGCGCTGCTAAGGATGTGCCCGCCGGCGTGTGTCCGAGCCCTGCCCAGCCGGCAGTGCCTGATGGGGTTTGTTTTCCAGGAAGAACCGCTGTTTCCTTCGAACAGCCTCCGAGTGACCCGTCGGGACGAAGAGCGCCCGTCACTGTTACCGCTCCCGCTCCCCCCGCTCGCGAGGTATTTATTGACCGTGCAAGAGGCAGGACAGCGGACCAAGCAATACGTGTGTCTAACACGTCTGTCACACGAGCTGGTAGAAGGACTTCGAGGAGCTCGAGAACCCTAAGCAGGGCTGCGCGGCCGCGGCACACGCTTCAGGATGACTCTGGCCAAGCTCAATAAAAGGACTCTGCCTCTCCTGCTCGTTTTGGCTTTTTGTAATGGATTCTTTTTCTAAGGTGTGAATTAAACAATTATATTCAACAAACCACCTTGGTTTTCCTTGTATCCTGCAAGCAAAAAGCACGGTGAGGGCGCATCAGGCGTTTTGGGCAGGAATACTTACTTCAGACCGAACTTTAGACCTTTATCCTTCAACCTGGCAAGTGCCTAAAGTAGATCAGGCTTCCGTCTCTCCTCAGTCTCAACAGCTGAACTCTTATCAGCACTCCAGATAAAGGCCTGTTACAGAGAGAGAGCAAACAGACTGATAATACTGACAGCATTCCCATATCCCACAGGCACCCAGTGATAACTGCATGGAAAAGTATTTACTTTTAATTACTTCTAATCAAATTTACTTTAATAGATGTCCTAGATCGACTTGTGCCACTGCAGCACCTACTGTTTTAAAACAAGTTGATCAAAATCCAAATTTTGACCCAGAGGGTGGAGAGCAACAAAGCTGCTTCCCATCAGCCAAACACCAACAAGCCGAGGATGCAAAGTCCGGAACGGCTCTTTCCTTCTGTTCCGCGTGGAGCACCCGGCTCCCAAAAGGAAACTCCGCTTCAAACCGTCACGCCCGGGGAGGGCAAAGCCCCCCCGCAAGAGACACGAGCACAGCGGGTCTGAGGTTTAATACAGAAAATCTATTTGATATTTATTAAACTTAGTTTCTCCAGTTACAGTTTTGCATTGTACAAAGCATTTTAATGACACAGTAGTTAAAAAGATCTTTACAAATTGAAATGTGATACCCTTTTCTCCAAATATTTTAATTGCCATAAATTTGTTTAAAAATACACATTAAACGCATGTTTCGGACACTAAACTTTCTATAATCTCAATACCACAAAATACATAGAATATACTATACAGATGTGGAAAAAATCTAGTTAGTATATAATACTTTGCTCACCATTAACAGCTTTATTACGTGAAATGCACATACTGACTTAGAAATCCTAATTTTGAGCCCCAAAGTACCCTTTGAAATTTCAAATGTATTGCAACAAATAAAATCACAGTTTGTAATTTCTTTCTTTTTTTTTTTTTCCCCCCCCACAGGTTTTGGTTGAAGACAGATGCCTAAATATTCTGAGTGAAACAAAACCGTAACACATGGACTTGCCACGTACGAAGCATAAACCAGAGACGTCCCATGAGTTACTAACAGTACCTTTCCGTATGGTTAGTAAGGGCTGCTGTAAGGGCTGCTTTTATAAGTGACAGGTTAAGAGTTACCTTCCCCCACCCCCGAGCCCTCCCCCAAAAGAAAACACCCTTCTTCACCAAATAATAATCTCAAATAAGATAAAGGATTTTTAATAAATATATAAGCACTTTATCCTCCATATACAAAATTCCTTAAAACAATTTAAGAGGGGGACCAGATACAAACGTCAGGAACTGTGCTTGCAGGAGTCACGCCTGCTCCTCGGGGCCGAGCGTTCCCACGTACAATGCCAACACAGCCCAAACCAGAAGGACCGGGCACCCAGCTCCCTCGACTACTAGGGCTGCGTATAAAAACCGACGACCGGGAACGCCGCATCCCACCTTGCCTGGGTCGGGAACGGCGCCCCGGGAACGGGCGACGCTTCCACCACGCTTCCAGACGCGATGGGAACGGGCGAAGCGTCACCGGAAAGAGACCCTCCGGCAGCTCGATGCC